CTGGTGTGCTTCTTCCATGTGGGCTTTGTTGCTTCTGAGCTAGTTGGCCGCTTGTTTATCTTCCAGCCTTTAAGACCCCAAATGCTATATCTTTCGATAGCCAGGCACCATCAGCTTTCTTCACCACCTTTGCTTATGTACACCTTTTTTTTCAGTGATCATATCAGGAAGGTGGGTCCACTATCTTTTATTTCTACTTTTTCCACTTATTTTTTTAAACTCCCTTGCACTTCTTACATGGAAAAAAAATGTGAATGCAACCATGACAAATAATTTAAAAGCTGTTAATTATAGGTGGTGGGAAAGTATTAGAAAAGAAAATCACAAATCTACACAAATAATAAGGAAAAGTTGCAAAATTACATTTTTCTAAGGAAATAAAAGCTCTGCATTTGCACTAAAAGTGAGGTCAAATGACTACATATAAAGCCATAAACTATTCTAGGAAGAAAAGGACCTGTTAACAGAGGTTAAAAACAGAGTGGGGGTGGGAAGACTCATTACTAGTACTGCTTGAATTACCAAATACCTGTTACCCAGCAGCACTGGTGGCATGGTGGGCTAAAAGTTGGGCAGGTAAGCCCCCAATAAAATGATTTAAAAAAAAAAGGTTGGGCAGGTAAATGTGAAGTCGGGAGTTGACACCCACTAGTCACTCCTAACGCTTAGGCTAAGGCTGTCTATTCCCATACATACTTAGTCTTGGAAACCCTAGGCTTTATCCCCTGTGCTATCGGCCCTGTATAAATCAGAATGGACTTCATGGCCATGGGTTTGGTATTGTGTTTTATATGTTGTTGTTGTTAGGTGCCACGGAGTGAGCTTTGGCCCACAATGACCCTATGCACCACAAAATGAAACTGCCCAGTCATGCGACATCCTCACAACTGCTCCTATGCTTGAGCCCACTGTTGCAACCACCGGAGGGTCTTCCTTTTTTGCCGATGCCCTACTTTTTTACCAAGCATGATGTCCTTATCCAGGTACTGGTTCCTCCTGACAACATGCCCAAAGTTGCATGAGGTGAGTGAGTTTTGCTATCCTTGACTCCTAGGAGCACTTTGGTTATACTTTTTCTAAGACAGATTTGTATGTCCTTTTAGTATCCATAATACCTTTAATATTCTTTGCTTGCACACAATTCAAATCCATCAATTCTTCTTTGGTCATCTTTATTCAATGTCTAACTTTCAGGTTGGATGTGGAAACTGAAAATACCATGGCTTGGGTCAGGCATACCTTAATTCTCAAAGTAACATCCCTGCTTTCCAATATTATACCACCACTTGTCGGTCAGCTTGTCAGACTGTGATGGCTTGGCTGGTAACTATGTCACTCTATCTCAAATGCCAGCCAGGTCACCCAAACTGAACAGGTTTCAGCCGAGCTTCCACCAGACTATGAAGAAGGAATCGGCAGCTCACTTTGGAAGAAGTAGTCACTGAAAACCTTATACATGGAATCGAAACATTGAAGGCCTAATGAATGGAAGCAGAACATTGTCAGAGATGGTGCCAGAGAACGGGCCCCTTGGCTTGAAATGTGACCAATGAGGAGATGCTTTCTCAAAGTAGAGTTGACTATTGTTTTATATAGTATCTATTAAATAGTCTTTCAAATTTTCAAAAGTCTTAGATTTAAAAATGTTTGGTGTTGATGCCCTGACTGGAGCAAAAAAAAAATTAATCAATAAACCAATAATAAATAGTGGTGCCATGGGACATATTTTATAATTCTCATAAGAAGTGCACAGGGTCAG